TTAGGCATCTCACTTTTAAATGAAATCTCATTTTGATGTGAAACCAGTGCCAATAGTTAGATACCTTAGTTACCTAGGTGTGGGCGCTTGAATAACCTCGACCGGATGCTGAATGGAGAATTGGCACACATCAAAAGTTCATTTTAAATGCTGTCATGATAGCAAAATGTTGTCATGATTTGCATAAGCTGCAATGCGTCATGCCTTCTCTATGTCATCTATCGTGATGGATGGACTAGATTAGGGAAAAATGATATTTTTTCCCTTTTTTAAATGTTTTATCATTCCTTGTTGATTTGCCATGCTTCTAATTTAATTTATACTCTGATTCAACATATATATGAGCTCAATTGAATTTTTAAAGGATTTTTATTTGGGATCCCATCTTGAAATGTAAATTTAAGTAATATAGTTTAGTCCTTTTTATCATGATAAATCTAGGTTGTTAGTTAACTCCTAAATTATCATGATATGATGCTTAGTGTGATGTATGGTAATGCCTAGTTGGATATTACAGCTACCATATGTTATATACTATGATTAACAGATTAAGGGTTAATTGGTTCAATTTACCTTTTTTTTTTTCGGAAGTTCAAGTTTGGGAGTATATTTTTCTTGATAAATTCATATTTAATTGTTTGTTTTATTTTTTTTAAAATTTTTAGAAGTCTAAACTATTTTCAATATAATATTTTTTTAATACTAGATATTTTATTTCATAATTTTTAAGATTAAGTTTTAAAATATATAATAAATATTTTAAAATACAATTTACCTGGGTTCTATAAATTTCTCTTTTAGCTGTGAAATAAATATGAAACTTAACTATTCATTAAGTTAAGACTTTAATTAAATAAAATAAAATGAATTTTAGGAATATTTATTGAAGATTAAAAAAGTTATTTTTAAATAATTTAAAAAATTTTAGCAAAAGAAAATAATTTAGAAATTGTTATAAAAAGATAGTTATTTTGTATAAATTTTATAAGAAATAAACATTATTTTATGTATAGTTATAATAATAAAAAGAAATTATTAAAAATTTTACGCTATCTTCATGGATCTCTAATTATAAAAAATAACTTATTATTTAATTATTATTTTACAAAATACATTTTTTTAAAAAAATTAATTAATTTTTATTAAAAAAACTTAAACAAACGATCCTTATTATATTTTCTCAAAAACTCAATTTCTTTTTTTTTTTTACTTTAAGTCTAACCAGAACTAGATGCAGATTATAATTAAACATGGTTAAATGAAAAAAAATAGCACAAGGCCCGCGGCTTTATGTCTACGAGAGACTTTATACTTTTTTTTTATTCTTTTTTCTTGTTTTCTTTTAATACAAAAGAAGTGTAAATTGACCGTTGGCGTAAATTCTTAAGATGAACAGCCAAACGTAAAAAAGTGCAGATTAGGAAAGAAACATGTTACCTTTCAGGAGAAGGACAGAGAAGCATTTTAAGATTTTTAACACTGTATAGCTAACCCAATAAGCACATTGGAACAAAGGAAGGACGCCTTGGTAGTAAACGACGAAATGCTGACGTAGTTTTTGTCGTTTGCGTTTTGACCTTCGCCGTTAGCCAAATTTCTCACCTGCCCTTCGTCGAACGCAACCTGGAAGGCCAGGACAGTAAGGAACACGCGACAACGAATAATCTTCCTTTTTTTAAAAAAAAAAAAAGAGAAAAGAGGGGATGCGTATGAAATATGTATTGACTATTTAATATACATACATATATATTCCCTCGATTGGAAATATAAAATATTTTAATTAAATATTATTTTAATAAAATAATTATTTATTTTTAAATTAATTTTATATTTTATATTTATTGTTATTTAATAAAATATTTTATTTTAAAACAAATATAAAATGATTTATTAATAGAAGTATTTTTAAAAAATGTAATAATTAGACATGGAAAATTAAAAATGTATCTAACTTTTAAAAAAATATCTTATATTTTTTAACGAAGAGAGTATATACAACATTTATTTTATTAATAGTAATAATAATGACAATCATATATATATAGAATTTAATGTATACCTGCCTTCTTAAAATTAACCGAATTCAATCGCCAAAGTCGAAACCCACTCCCAGTATCAAGGCTTATCACACCTCCTCTTAACGGAATTGTATTTTGATTTTGAATTAAATGATAAGTTTATCCTTAAATTATTAGTTTAGGAACGTTTGTTATACTAAATTTTTTTGAACAAGATTTATATACTTATTCTCATATAGTTAATATACTTTTATTTAATTAAATCAAAACATATAAATTTTAATATGCTAATAATATTAACAACAAGAATTTATTATATAATAAATAATCTATTATGAATACACATGTCTTGATTTAATTGAAAAAAATATTTTAGATATATAAAGTTAAGTATATAAATTTTTTCATTTTCTTTTTATAACAAAGAAAACAAAAACAGTCCAACTACGAGATCTTAAATTTATTTTTAGTATGATATTCTCTTTAACATTTTAAAATAATAAAATATTGTTTCTATCATTAAAAATGTTAATTTTTATTGTTAATTGATAAAAAATACAAGAAAAAACCAAGATCTTGGTCCTTTTTTATGAAATATTTGCAATCTTTTCTGTAATTTTATAATCATTTTCTATAATTTTACAGTTAATTAATAGTGAAAGTTAATTTTACAATAAAAATAGCATCATACTATTTTTAAAAGTTAAAAAAAATATTACATAAAAAATAAATTTAAGATTCTAGACATTTCTTAATTTATAGTTTACATATGAAATTGTCATTTAATTCTTTAATTTTTTATGTATATTCTTTATTTCTGTTCTAACTTTTTGAGCATTTAAAATGTTTCAATTGTTAACACCAAATCTCCTACATCTTTGTTGAGTAAAAGGATCAAATATTATTAATAAAAACAAATAAAAAGATTAACATACAAGATGCCCAGTACAAGGCCAGGAAATAAATAATACAAAGTAAACAAAATATTTAATTAATTATTTATCAATCTCGGACTAAATATGGTGATTTACTAATTTTCCTGTAATTTTTTATTTCCCTACTTTACGTTTAGTTCCCGACTTCACGTTATTCTTGCCGACTGACGAAAAAGTTCTCAGCCCGATGGCTAGTCCCAGAATTGAAGTAAAATTCTTTTGAAGCACTTACCCAAAATAATAATAATAATAATAATAATAATAATAATAAAAGAAACGAAAGAAAGAAAGTAAAAAAAAGTCTTTGAAGCAAAGCAAGCAAGAACATCGCATGCACGAGACAAAGGCACAACCACAACCACAATAACTAAAATCCCGTTACACTTCTCTTTTAAATGCATAATTATTATTTATTAACTTCTTTTTAATATGATTATTTTTGGTAATATTTTGATGCAATTTTTTAATTTTTTATGTAATATATTATAGCATTTTTTTTTCAATGCAATGATTCGATACCCATGCTAAAATACCTCATCATTCTTCCAAAACACCATAAGATAATTTTAACTAATGTTACTAGGATTAAAAAAATAGTTAAAACTAGTTTGTGTTATTAACATGTTAAAAATTATCATTACTTCTTAACATTGCCCTACAATTAAAATCAATCTATTTTAATGAATAAAAATCAGCTCAAGTAATAAGGATTTGACCTATAATCCAGATAATTGTGATTCAAATTTTGTTATTAATGTAAGGACTTTATTAATAGATAATATGTAAGTATAAATACTATTCGAGTTAGGATGCAAGCCTTGATCTTGATAAACCTTTGGAACCCAACTTACTGAACTTTTCACAATAGAAAAAAGTAATCTATTTTAATTAACTTTAATTTCTTTTCATATAGTCTTTCCCTACAATTTGATTAATAAAGAGCTTTGTTTAAGGGGAAAAAAAAGTAATGCTATCAACTTTTTCAAAATTTCTACATTTTAAACTAACACCAATCCTTTCTTCAAACTCTCACACTTGCTTAGTGCGATCTCACTCTTAACCATCCCCTAGTCAAACTATAAAAAAGATTAAAAATCTTGTTATAAGATATTAGATGATTAACTTCAATCATGTATTTAAAAAAAGTTAATACGAATTGGCTTACTTGTCAAGCTCCTAAAAACAATCTAAATATTAAGATTTTTTTTATAACCAACCATCAAAGTGTCAAAAACTGGTTTTTTTATTACGGTACTATATCATCGGATATTTTAAAATATTCTCGATTTATTGCTTGTCCTACACTAATCTAAACTCCTGCGTTGGAGACCTTATAATGATTTGTCAATCGTAACCCTTTCCAACTCAATCGAGCGGCCATTAGTAAACTTATAAGTTTAGACATGTTTTAGTTGTTGTTCCTCGCACAATTTTCTGGTTCCTTGTATAAAAAAGACCCAAAAAAAAAAAACCAATACTAATCCCTAGAAAATGTCATGCATTTTGGACAGAGAGAGTAAATGACAATCTCTCCAACTAGATTTGCAATATCTTGGTCATTATTATTAACATTATCATCATTTGAAAATGAAAACTCGTATTTGTTAGTTTCACACATCGGTTTTGCTAATCCTTCAAGCATTTGGTTGGCATATACTTTATCACAACCGACAGTGGATGAAAAAATCTGACTGATTCTTCGATAACAATACCTGCCTCATCCCCACTCACTCCGTTCTTAATCTTATCAAGGCACGCACACTCACACCCACACACACATACCCTTTCACAACAAAAACCACTAACCTCATCCCCAAAATTCACGGAATTTTTTCCTTTATATTATCTCGCAACTATATTTTCAATCCGAGTAAATCAGTCAAAATGTTTTGTTTGTGACCTTTATACTCTTTCACCAGTAAACTAGTAACATCTTGCATCATAGCTCAATCACGAGTAAAGCCGATTCACTATTTCGAGGAATCAATCAAGGCCAAAAAAGAAATTAAAAAAAAAAGAAAAATATATCTCAAAAAATGCCAACAAATTACTGGGTTTGCTGTGCGAGTTTATGAAATGAACCGAATTGAAATAAATTTCAGGTGTTAGCTACAAATTCAACATCTAAGTCTATAGAGTATATAGACATAGCAGCAGACAGCTATGATGATGATGATTGTTGTTGTACCAGCTAAGGATTTGGATCTAAACAAGAAATAAAGAAAGGAAAAGAAAAAAAAAAAGGAATTTGCTTTACTGAGTTGCGTGAAGAACAATCTAAAAATTATGCATCAGAGACCACACTGAGTTCATCTTCTGCTGCTGCTGGAGCTGGTAAGTTGAGATCTATGAAGCAGCTTTCCTTTATCATCAATCTTGCAGAATCGTTCAAGGTTGACGATGATGATTGTACGAGATGAGACCTCTTGTGTCCCCCAAGTGCTTGTCCTGACCCAAACACTTTATAACAAAATGGGCATTCGAAAATCGAATCATTGTTGCTGCTGTTGTTGTTCGTGTTCTTGTTTTTACCTGCGTTTCTAGCAACTGCTGCTGCTGCTTCTTCATCAAGAAAACACACGTTTCTATGATTCCCCAATGCTCGAAACGATCGAAACGTTTTTCTGCATTTCTCGCACTGATGCTTCCCGCGAACTCCTTTCTTCACCTTGATCTCCTCGAATCGCTTCGATTTGTCGTCTCGTCCTCGATCTTCTTCCTTCACGGCGTTTCTCTTCCATTTGTCTCTCGACAGCATAATGAGACACATAGCGACATCTTCTTCAGTGCTAGTTTCAGAAACCGAGCTCACCGGTTCAGGTTCGGCGGGCGACCCGGAAAGACTGGGTTTAGGCTTCTTGGCTGATGCCGACGCCGACTCCGATCTCAGGGTTGTTCTTGTTCGCTTGGATCGAAGGCGAGTTGGGTTCTTTGACTCGGTCTCGCTCTCTCGGTCTTGAACGATAACAGAGCCAGTATCGACGAAAGAGAACTCAGGATCTGCAAGCTTGAAGCTTTTCTTGGGGTTTTCTCTCAAGGCGTAAATGAGAGCCTTGTCGTCGGAATCTTGTGAGGAAGAAGAAGAGAAGGAAGGGGAAGGCGGAGACGGTGGTGGCGGTTGAGGCTTGGGAGGAAGAGGGAGAGCGGCGAAATGGGCCTTCATGTGGCCACCGAGCGATCTGCCATGAGCGAAGGTTCTGGAACAGAGCTTGCATTTGTGCTTCTCCATTTACAGAGAGAGTTGAAGAAGAAAGCTCGAAGCTTTTGGTGTTCCACACACCAACTTGTTTTTGGAGATTTGAGAACTTAAAAAGGAGTAGGTGACTAGCATTCCTCCACCAAAAGACGCACAACACATCGCAGCACAACGCAACGCACAACACAACCCATAATTATGTGATTTTCTCATTATAAATATACAAGTTTTTTTTTTTTGGAATATTTATAATATACAGATATTTGTTTATCAGCCTAGCTGGATTTGGTTGAGCAGTAAAGACTCAAGACTCTCTAAACAAATTCTCAAGTCTAACCAAGTACCGAATCATGATTTAATTATTAAAAGGATAGAGAGTGAAGAATATACATAGTGAAGCCATGATTTAACTATGAAAGAGGATTAAGATTGAAAAGAATATAAAATATGTACATAAATTTTGGGAGGTGTAACAAAAAAAAAATTGAAAACATGGGACGATGTTTTAATGAAATCGATTTAATATGTGAGATTATAAAATTTTGATAGAAAAATATGTTAGATAAAACTAAAAGAGTTTTTAAAAAATTAATTAAAATTTTTAACACTACTTCTAATTTTTTTAAAAAAAATTGGAGGTGTTTAAATTCTCCCATCTCCCTTCTCCCTCTAAAACCCTATGACCAAACGCACTATAAGGGGGAAAAATTAATTAACATGTTTGGTCCGTCGAAGAATGGGAGGGAGGGAAGAGATGGGGGAAAAAGAAAAATTCTTCCCTCTTATATATGTTCTTTATTAATTTTTTTGGTCCAGCTTTATATTTTCTAAATTATCATTATTAAAATTTTCTTCCCATTTGTAGAAACTAAATAGACTACATGAATTTGAATTACTGATGGCTGAATACTATGGGAGAGTTTGTTAGAGAAAGATAAAAATTGGTTATCAGTGAATATTTTTAAAATTTAAGTTATATTAAAAATAATATAGAATATATATGTAAATTATTATTATTATTATTATTATTGTACAATTCCATGTCTTTGATTTAAACTAATTAGGTTGGCAGTTTGCAGGACTATTTTTGGAGGGCATGCGCCTCTCATTAAAAATTTAATCATTGTTATATACTTATAATTTGAATATGATATTTTTGAATAAGCTGGATCAATGCTTTCCTTATCAGGTGGTCCAAGCACATCCTGGTGATATTATTTTACTTATGTTGCATGGTGCGAGATCTGATCTGAATTCAGAGTTCTCAAAACGTGAAAAAATAGGGAGGGGCAAAAAAAATGATGATGAAGCGATTGTCACGCAGGAAAAAGAGCCGATGCTAACATGCAATCCTTGCCCAGTTTCAGTGGTCCCATTTTTTCATTTCAGTTTCTGCTTTCTGCCACATCTCATCATCCTGCATTTTCTGTTTTCTTTTTCCCCCCATTTGGTTAAATTCCTGTTATTTACCTTTTTTTTATAAATTGATCATTTCCTAAATTCATTTTCTCTATTTTATATATGAGTCTATTTTCTTTTCTTTTCTTTTTACTTTTTGTTTACAATTAAGTAGTTGAGTTTATCTACACTTTCTTTTTCACCAACATTTAGTTTTGTATGGAAAACAAAAATTTGTCATATGCATTCAAAGAAAACATAACATATTGCCAGTTTATATTTCAATTTACATATATTAAAAATACATTTGAGGAATCTAGCTATTTGTTAGATTTGATAAAAGCATATTTTAAATTTGGTTTCAATGTATTTTTAAAGATTACTCAAATAGGTTTGTAGTTTTATACTTTACAGGTAAAAATTAGTTTTTTTTTTTAAGTTAAAGGACAAAAATATTTCAAAATTTTTTTATAAAAGAAGTTTGGTATTCTAAATATTTTTTGAAATAATATCAGTCTAAAACTTTTAACAAAAGGTGTAATTTTATTTCACCATTAACTTAAACTAATGTCTGACTATTAAATATTACTTTGACTATGTTTTTTTTGAATTGTCCAAAAAATTACACCCTTCTCTCCCTCCCTCCCTCCCTCCCTCCCTCCCTCAACTGTTCCTTCCTTTCATTATCCAGTTGCTGAAAAGAAAAGGATCAGCTTCTCATTCTTAAATTTATTATACTAAGAATGTTTAATGATAGTATACTCTATCAAATAGCTTAAGTCATTTGATTAGATACTTTATATATCATAATTCATTTTTTAATCTTTTAGATGAAGAACTTCTTTTTACACTCTAATATTCTCTCTATTACTTTTTTTCTCTGTTTTTTTAGTTTTTTTCTTCTTCTTGCTTAGGTTTGTACTTTTTTAGTTTTAGAGGCCTCAAGTCTATTCAATTTCTTCTCATTTTTTCTTCTTCTTCTCTCTTTTCTTTTCTTTTTTTAACTTCTTGTTGTATTTTTTTCATCTTTCATTTCTTTCATTTTTTCCTTTCTTTCTTTCTTTCTTTCTTTTTTTTGTCCCCCAATCGAATGGCTCATGATACCATGTTAGATTTATTATACTAAGTATGCTTAAGAATAGTATACTCTATCAAAATAGCTTATACCATTTGATTAAATACTTCTTAAACTTTATATATCATAATTCATTTTTTAATTTTTAAATGTGAGATTTTTTTTTACACTCTAATACTCACATCCAAAGAGCATGGGAGACTGAGAAGAATGAAGAGCCGAAACTTCCAACCCATTTGCACACACCAACGATGCAAAGAAAAAAGAGGAGTTTCAAGCTCACAACCCACCCACTAGAGGAGAAGACTATGGCAGGAGTATGTAAAATTTCTGGTCAACAATTCCAAAAAAAAAATGGTCAAAATAAAATTTAATGATCAAACATTCATCTAAGTTATGGTGAGATAAAATTACACCTTTTTAAAAGTTTTCATGCAACATCACTAAAAAAATTTCTTGAGATACCAAACACCCCTCACAAAAAAATTTTTAAGCATTTTTGCTATTCAACCTTTTTTTAATAGCTATCTAGACCTGATTCGAGTGCAGTTGAGGTCAATTGAGAGTAGTTCTCTCCGGGACGTTTTTTACATTTACATGAATTCAAATTCAAGATCTTATATTTAAGTGACTGTGACTCTTTTTACTAGAATTAATAGATGTCCATAAGGTAAATATTATTTTGTTAATTTGAACCCCTATCTCAGAAATGAATTTATAAAGCAATTATACAGTGTATTGCATTCCATGTGTTAATTAATAGACATGAAACCAATGAGGTCAAGCTTTTCGACCGTCTAACGATTGGATTAAGCAAACCGATTAAATTTTAAATGAAAAATGAAAATACAAATTTCTAAAAAATATTGGAATTTCAAATTTTTGTGAATATTGTTAATTCTTCAGAGTTCTTTTGGGGTTCAAATTAAAGAATTTCGGTGATTGGTTAGTATTAGCTAGTTGTAATGACAGTAAATTTTTTTTTTAAATAATGGTTCGCTTTCTGCAAAGTCTTTTTCTCTCTCTGGTTTTTTTTTTAAAAAGTATCAATTACATTCCATGGCTAAAAGGAAATAATCTCTTTTGTAATTATATGAGAAATCTTTAGAAATTTAAAAATTTGGATGACCCTCATGATGACTTTTCTTATGTATTTAGTTTAATCAGATATGATCATAATCATAAATAAATAATCATAGTATAATTATTAAGAATGCAGAATATGGGCCCAAAAATTCTTAACTGAGGAATTTTCATTTATGAGGAGTGATGACGGAAGATACAAGGAGATATTGACTTGGTCGTGAATGACATGGAATAAACATGATGTGAAGGAGCGATTGTGAGACTAATTTCTAATTTCAAAAATTACAAATATTTTTATGATTTAAAGCAAAAATATCACAGAAATTCTCAACTGCTTTTACTTTCTTTAGTAAAAAAAAAATAGAGAAAATTTAAAAAGAAAAAAGTGAGGAGCGAATCTCATATTTACATACAAGAGCCTCACTAGGGTGAGACATGCTTATCTATTTTTATCTCTCTTAGTTTTACCCTCTGAAATATTTAATGGAATCCTAATTTATATATATATATATATATTAACAACAAATTCACGATAATTATGAACTTTCTTTCTAGAAAAAATTTTCATGTAAAAAAAAAACATCAGGCCATTTACTTTTGTTTTGGTCAACAGGCTATTTACTTTGTTAAAATATAGAAATTAAAAGATTTTACGTTAGTATGAGATATAACTATCAATAAATTGAGCATAAAATAATAATTTAATCTTTTTATTTATATTTACTTACTTAAAATATTAGTTCATTTAGCAACTGTCACATCATAATTAAAATAATCGTTAAAGTATGCATTTAATTCTTTAATTTTACACAAGATTTTATTTTAATCTCATAATTTTATAAAGTATCTTTTTAATCCTTTAACTATAACATTATTAGTTTTATCTTAATAATTTTTATATTAAACTTTTAAATATTAACAAAACATTCTTAATATTAAAATATAAATATTAAGGTTAATTTTTTTAAATAATAATGATTGATACAAAAATAATTATTTAAAACTAATAATATTAGGGTTGAAAGACTAAAAAAATAATTTATAAAATTAAGGGTTCAAATTAAAATCTTATATAAAGTTAGAATACTAAAAATATACTTTATCCTAAAATTGTTATAGAACTGAATTCAGTTTTTGGTATAAATTGAATATATATTAGTATATTATCACTACTCTTAATAAAATATAAATTTAAAAATACGCAATTGTACAAAAAAATAAGAAAATGATATTAAAGTCCCAAAATAAATAATTTATGATAATTAAGTCTTTTATATAATTTTAAAAAAATTAATTATAAATATTGATTCAGACATATATATAAATTTAGGAGTTTTAATTATAAAGAAAATATTTAAATTCTAAATAAAAAATGTGTTGTTTTAGATGAAAGTTAGGATGGCTAAAGATAGTTTCGGAAGCCACCCCACCAATTCCTCTCTTTTTTAAATTATTCTCCCAAGCAATAATATAGAATTTCTAGTCATTCCACTTCATTCAATTACATCTCCGCAAAAAAAAAAAAAAAAAAAAAAACTCCAAAACACTACATAAGAATTCGGCAAAACCAAAACTGGCCTCATGTTTCAGATTATTTATAAAATTATATAATCTAA